TATATATATATCTATCATTGGTTCATTAGAAGTAAATAGATAAATATATTCAACTATATTTATTTATTTACTTCTCATTGGTTCATTAGAAGTAAATAAATAAATATATAGTTGAGTATATATAGTTTAGTGTATACATAGTCTGCAAAATGTTAATTATTTTACCAAAATAAGAGGGAAAATACAAAATGCATGTTATTGTTAATTAGTACTGACCTGAATAAGATATTTCACATAAAAGATGTTTACATATAGTCCACAAGAGAAAATAATAGTTGAATTTATAAAAATGACCCTGTTCAAAAGTTTACATCCACTTGATTCTTAATACTGTGTTGTTACCTTGTTGTATTAAAGCTTTAATCAGGATAAAACAGTATATTAAAAGCTAACATAAGCAGTAGCATTTACAAATAACAGCATATCTAAAAGTATGAGACAACAACAAACAAAAAACATAGGCCTACCATTAAAAGCCGTGTTTGCACAGGTTCTGCACGATCCTCTTCAATTATATCATCTGCTTCTCAATCGGGCTCAAACTGATAAGCGATATTAACAACGCCTTGTTTACAATACAACCGGAGCACATGCCGCCGAGGTGAGGGGCGGGACGGTTAGATGCGCACTAGAGGCAGTTTAGCCAATCACGACACACTGGGCTAGCTAACCAATCAGAGCCTATTGCCTATTTCTGAGGGCAGGGCTTCATAAAAGCAGGAAATTACCATCTAATTCTGCTAGATATGTAAGGCATCTTAGTACAATACACAATAGCTGTAGTTCTTTTCCAGTTAAATCCTGTGATGAGGTCTTCTATATAGAATTCTGAGATCAATCAAATCTGATACATTTTTAATGGTTATTTGTTTTTCCTTTGGGCTACTTATGTAATCAACATTTTTACCGCACGCAAACTCACTTGCTTATAGCATCATCACGGAAAGTCTCCTTCATTTCACCCAGAAAACAACAAAGAAAGTCCTCAGGTGAAAACATCAGTCAACTGAAAGTTTAATGGTATTCTTGTTCTGAGAAGCAGCCGCCATATAAACCAGTATATATAAATCAGCCGCCAAACAAGAATTAAGACAAAAACAAACTCTCCTGAATATGACTGCATCAGTCTGTGTGTTTCTCCGCCTGAGGTGTGTGTTCACACTGTTTCACTTTGTTTTTTCCCCCTCTCCTCTTATTTACTACAGGCAGCATTGTGTATTTGGGGATGATGGTAGGGGCCTTCTTCTGGGGCGGCATGGCTGACAAGGTGGGCAGAAGGCAGTGTCTGCTGATGTGCATGTCCATGAATGGCTTCTTCGCCTTCCTGTCTTCTTTTGTGCAGGGCTATGGCTTCTTCCTGCTCTGTCGCATGATAGCTGGCTTTGGGTGAGTCTGTTTCCTGCACCACACAATCTGTGGTACATCTTCAAGATGTTAAATTTGTCAAGTCCAAAACGTAGATCTTGACAGAGACTTTAAGTTTTGTAATACAAAGAAATATATAAATATGTGTAGACTACTGTTTAAATGTTTGGGGTGAGTGAGATTTTTGTTGAAATAAATGAATACTTTTATTCAGTAAGGATGCATTAAATTGATCAAAAGTGACAGTTAAGACATAATTTTTCAAAAGATTTCTATTTCTATCAACCTTGATCAGCAGAGACCCTAAAAGGTTGAACAATAGTGTGGTTGTAATATAAAAGATATATTTATATAAAAGATAAAAGCTATTGATATAAAGAAGAGAAGTATAAAGATGTTGATGGGGAAAATACTGGTTCCCCTTCAGGAACTCAAGGTGTGTCAAAATGCTAAGGGAACGTCTTCAGCGTGACCACGCTCTGAAATACGTGTGTAATCAGTCCAATGGATGGGCGAGACGTCACGGGCGGGGTGATGTAGCACCCAGGAAGCTTAAAAGCACGTGCGGTGGAACCGGCGTCAGCTTTCTATCATTCAGCATGCGCTCTGTGTGTCAGTCGCTATTTGTTGTGAGTCTTATTTAGTGTTGTTTGTCACTTATAAGCTCCAGTATGTCGAAGCTTCAGCAAAAATTAAACATTTGGGCGAGACCAGGCAGTGTTCAGGCTATGTGTTCCTCCCTGCCTGCGCTATATTTCGGGTGGGGACACACACAGTTTGTGTGTTATCTGATAGAGAGCGAAGCACGCAGAGTCAGCTCTCGAGGGACTGCGTGTGCTTCGCTCTCGGAAGGCTCTCTTTGAGGAGGGAGCCTTCACCAGCATTCCTCGGGGTGCCGGCTGTGCCTGTGGGCTTTGCATATGGATCTGGCGGAGGGGATGGAGACGGGCGAGTCCCTATCTTCTTCCTCACCCACCAGATCCAGCGCCCGCTCTCTGGGATCGGAAGCCCGCGTTGCGGTTCTTCCCCCTGGGGAGAGGGCTCGACGCTCTGCCTGTTGATGAGCTCGCCAGTTGCACAAGCACCAGTTGCACAAGCATATTATGCCTAATATTATAATGAGCAGCATTACTGGGGACCGGAGCTTGTGCAGTCAGCTCTCGAGGGGGCTGATTGTGCTTTTCCCGCTGCAAAATGCTCCGCTCTCGCCGGGCACGCTCCGAGGAGTGTGTCCGTGCCTGTGATCTTGCGGTTACGGTCCCGTTGCTGCTCAGGCACGGCGGCAATTGAGATCAACGCGTGCATTACATAATTTTCATTTTTTTATATAAATCTTATCACATCAGACCGTGTTTACTCGTCTGGTTGATATACAGGGGCTCTTAGGATAAAAGAGCACGAGTAAGAGCACGTGTTTACCTCTCTTCCTCCGAGGAGGTTGAGGTGGTCAGTAGGGGCTGCTGGGCGGGAGCAGTCCCAACCTACCGTGTTCCAGCTCCTCATTCTGGGAGCGTCACTTCTCGTACTCCCCAGAATTTAGAGTCAGAGTGGTGCTCCCAGGCCGAAGGCTTCTAGGGGAAAGGCGGATCTGCGGACCGTCATTCTCGCTGGATAGTCTTCGTCTAGACGTCCTGACGCCTAAGGCCCAGGACTTCTGAGGGCCGGCCCCCTCGGAGGAAGAGTGGTGTACAGCGCATTACACGGTGCCCGTCTCTCCTCAGTGCCCTCAGGAGATCGGTCTGCCAACCCTGCCACTCACGGTGCTTCAGGGCGCAGCGGTCTCTGGCAAGCGCTTCTCTCAGTCACCGGAAACATAGCGGTACTAAGAGGCTCGCTACCTCTTCGGAGGTCTCTAGAGCAGCTAGTTCGGCCGTCTCCTGCCGGTTCGCCACTTCAGGACACCGACCTAACCGCTCTGATTACACCAGAGGTCAGTCTCGAGAGACTGATTCCCCTAGTAGACTATTTGCCAGCGTGGAAACTACTGCCAAATGTGTCTCAGTGGGTCCTGCACACTGTAGAGAGAGGCTACCAAATTCAGTTCGGCTCTCCTCTGCCTCATTTCAACGGGGTCATTTCCACTCTGGTGGGCCCCGAGCAGGCTCTGGTAATGGAACAAGAAGTAGACACTCTCTTGAGGAAGGAGTGGTCCCTCCTCTTGGCAGTGAGTCCGGGTTCTACAGCTGGTACTTCATCGTTCCGAAGAAGGTTGGAAGTTCCTAAGGTTTGCGTTTAGGGGCAAAAGCTTACCGGGTTCTTCCGTTCGACCTTGCACTCTCACCCCGCACTTTCACGAAGTGTGTGGATGCTGCTCTGGCTCCTCTGCGATACCAGGGCATCTGCATACTCAACCACATCGACGATTGGTTAATATTAGCTCAATCAGTCGCCCACTTGAAGAGCTGGGGTTAAGACTAAACGCCAAGGGAGGTGTACTTTCTCCATTACAGAGAACCCCTTATCTGGGTGTGGTGTGGGATTCGACCACGATGCAGGCACGTCTGTCTCCTGCTCGGATCGAGTCGATCCTCACTGCAGTCGCAAGAGTGAGAGAAGGACTGTCACTCACTGTCAAGCAGTTTCAAAAACTGCTGGGTGTGATGGCAGCTGCGTCCAACGTGATATCTCTTGGCCTGTTGTACACGAGACCCCTACAGTGGTGGCTCAAGACCAAGGGGCTATCCCCGAGGGGAAACCCGCTTAGCATTCTCAAGGTCACATGGCTATGCCTACGTGCCTTAGACATGTGGAGGAAACCTTGGTTCTTGTCTCAGGGCCCGGTGCTGGGAGCTCCTTGTTTCTAGCATTGAAACACTTCCTTTCGGACCTAAGAGATCGCCATGTGTTGGTGCGCACCGGCAACACAGCGGTGGTCTCTTATATCAACCACCAGGGAGGTCTGCGTTCACGCCCCCTTTATAGGTCTGGTCTCTTATATCAACCACCAGGGAGGTCTGCGTTCATGCCCCCTTTATAGGTCGGTGCACCAGATCCTTGTGTGGTCCCAGGGCAAACTCCTCTCGCTGAGAGCAGTTCACATCTCTGGGCATTTCAATATGGGAGCAGACATCCTGTCAAAGCAGGGGCCGAGGCCCGGGAATGGAGACTTCACCCTGAGGTGGTGAAGCAGCTATGGAGAGTTTTTGTCCAGGTTTAGGTGGACCTTTTTGCAACTTGAGAGACATTGCACTGTCCCCTCTGGTTCTCTCTGACTCATCCAGCTCCACTGGGGCTTGATGCCATGGTACAGACGTGGCCGAGGCTTCATCTGTACGCCTTTCCCCCGATCGTTCTGCTCCTGGGAGTTCTGGAGAGAGTGCGCCGGGACGGGGTCCGTCTACTACTAGTGGCCCTGTTCTGGCCGGGCCGAGTATGGTTCTTGGACCTGATTTCCCTCCTCAACGTCTCTCCATGGGAGATTCCCATCAGGAGGGATCTCCTCTCACAGGCGGAGGGTACGATCTTTCACCCCCGCCCGGAACGGTTGAAGCTGTGGGTGTGGCCTCTGATGGGGCACAACTCATAGCTTCCGGTCACTCAAACGAGGTTGTTGAGAACATCCTCCAATCCAGAGCTCCCTCCACGAGGAAACTGTACGACTTGAAGTGGAAGCTTTTCACTTTTTGGTGCGGAGACTGCCTCCTACAGGCCCGTTTCTCTGCAGGGTTGACCCACTCCACCCTGAAGGTCTACGTGGTGGCCATTGCGGCCTACCAATCCCCTCTCGGTGGCCAGTCAGTGGGCAGACACCCCCTGGTTACACGTTTCCTCCGCGGTGCGCTGAGGCCTCCGGCCAGAGAAGCTTATGCTAAGCGGTGGATCAGGATGCTATTCCATAGCCTTGAGTCCTCTGATCTCCCCTCGCCTCTGGGGGTCAAGGCTCCGCCTGTGATGTCTCACCCATCCATTGGACTGATTACACACGTGATTCAGAGCGTGGTCACACTGAAGGCGTTCCCATAGTGTTTCGACGCAGTGTCTCGTTCCCTCAAGGAACCATGGTTACATGCATAATGTGGAGACGTTATGATTGTGGCTAATATTTGATACCATAATCCATATCCTTGTAGGGTTTTTTGAGCACTTACATCCTATGGTGATTCTTGTGAAGTGTGTAATGAAGACTCCCTCACACAACACTGTAAAAATATCTCTGCCGCTCTTGTGTGTAAGCAAGCAGACATAGGAACCTATCCATTTAACACACTACCTAGTGTACTGTAAGGAATTTAACTCATTGAGAATGTCTCTCCTATTCTGTAGATAATAGTCTTTTTCAGACAGGCAATACATTACATCTGGCTGGATCAATAGCCTCTGCAGTGCTGCGTTCTTGACTCTCTGATTCTCCATTGCTGGTGGAGACTGTCTGTGGGTCCATGGCTAAAGCACTTGTCCCTCTGATGATGGAGTTATTGTGAATCTTTGAACACATTCGGCTTGTGCCTCCTATTAGGCATTTCACAGAATGTTGTTGCTAATTAAAATGTCCATATGGTTGTAGTGATGTACGGTACCATGTACAGTTAGATTTCTTAATGTTCTTGAAAGATACCAAAATCCTTTTTTTTCAGAATTCTTTGATGAATAGGAAGTTATGAATAAATAAAAATCACTGCGCTCAACTTCAGTTTTGGGTGCGTAGATCAATCAATAACATCACTTTCAAGTAAGGGATCTGCACTCGCTCTGTCTTCTTAATAACTTTTCAATTTATTTAAATTTTGTGACAGAGCAATCGACAGTCAAACGTTTTGGCAGCAAGCCTTCTTCAGTGAATCATCACTGAAGGCGAATAGAATGTTCTTTATTGCCCTCAAGCAGAAAAACATTCTTTCTTTTTAGTAATTTTTTAGCAATTAAAGCTTTTTTTATTTTTAAGCAGTTTTCACTTTTTTTTAATTTGTAATTTTTAAGTCTTAAAATATTTTTGTCTGCATAATGTGCTGTACAAGACCTTTTTAGGTTGATTCTTCTGGTAAGTGTAGCATTATCAATACTTTCTTGAGCTGTTTTTCAACCAGTGGCAGATCGTTTGGGAAACCATATTATTTTTGCAATTCTGTTTGGTGATGGTAGCAAGTTTTATTAACAGAAATTACATGCTTTAAATTACACGCTTAAACACAGCTTAAATAGGTCCACAGATCCACATGTTTTAAAATTACGCTATAAAGGAAAGTACATGAAGTACAAGAAACAGCTGTCATAAATTGCTGAGCTTTTGGACCCTCTGAACATTATTCTTCCTTGTCTTGTCCTTCAGGATTGGTGGAGCAGTGCCCATTGTCTTCTCATACTTTGCTGAGGTATTGGCAAGAGAGAAGCGTGGAGAGCATCTAAGCTGGCTCTGCATGTTCTGGATGATTGGAGAGATTTATGCCTCCGCCATGGCCTGGGCCATCATACCTCATTACGGTAACAGAACCGCTTGTTTTGCTAATCATCATTATCAAGGTTTTTAATTATTAGTGAAATTTGACAATATTTTTTTTATTTTACATTGTTACAGAATATTTCTATTTCAAACAAATGCTATGCTACATGTCTAAAAACCATGGGACTATAACTGTACATGTCTACAATAACATGGTTTTATCAAGGTACAATATCCAAAAAACTATGATGATGCTTTAGTAAGCAACCAAAATTTGAAGATAACAAATGTTAGCTTTTAATTTCCATATAAATGAAGTAACACAAGACGCAGGTAGAGTCCGATTACAACAATGTTCTCGGCGAGCTCAGGTCAAGGTGTCTGCTGTTCCTCCAGCACGTGTGGGCTGTCCTCTCACTGGCAGTGATGACTGTGAGGGAGCGGAGAACATTGGAGCTTTAGGTTAAGTGATTAATGTAGAAACAGAGCACTGCAGGGATATTTAAAGGATGAAGTGACTCCTGTGAGGGAAAGCATAGCCCGATGATTTATGAGAACCTCTACTCTGGAAATAAGCTGCACTCATCAGTAACAAAATGATGGAATAGAGGGGAAGGGAGGAGGAAAGGAGGTGAATGGATATGGAGAGGAGTCTCTCGGCCAAAACGACAGACCGTTTTCACTCCTATTTTGGGAGGCGGGGGGAGGTGTTTGCTCTGTTTTGTTCTCTCTGAATAGATCGTAATGAGGTTTTTCTCCTTGCGTTCTGAGACAAAACGAAAGGAGTGCTTGATTTATGAATGGCCCACGGTGGAGCCCAAGCAGGGGACAAGCTGTCAGACACAGTGGCTAGGAGAGTATTAGGGAGTCTGTATTATAGTCTGGAATCAATGGGAAACAGTCATAGGCTCTGTAAATTGGGTGCCTGTGTATACAAGGAAGAGGAGCAGCCATGGGTGGGTAGTTTACATTCAATCTCCCTTGTTCTCAAAGTATATGGTCATTTAGTGATCATTTACTGTATCTCGCTGTCTACATGTGCTAATATTTGACGATCTCAATCAATTTAATCTAATATGCAAGTTGCATAAGCCCAAATGCATTATGGCACTACATATGTATTTTTGAATCAGATTGAGAAATTATTTAAGATCTACACCACCCCTTTTACTATATCGAAATTTCATTATAATTTAATTAAATTATAAATGGATGATTATTTCGTTTGTTTGGATGTAAACTACTGTGGCATGTATAAAGCTACTGTCTGTGACATGGCATATCTCTTGAAGAGGGCGCACAATTTGAGGTATTGTTCATGTTTTTAATGCTGACAGTCTGGGAGTTATGCACCAAAGTATACCAAAGGGTTTGGGGTTTGTTTAAATCTCTGACTGTAATATTAATGCTTGCTTTAGCAAACACAACTAATAAATATAGCTGCAAGCAGCGATTCAAGCACTTAAGGCATTTAAGCACATAAGGAAAAAGACATTACATATTATTTAGCAAGCCTGTAACCACCTAAATCAATTATTAAAAAAGCATTTTTTGCAAATCCAGGTGATTTACCATAGAAATATGGCATTTTTATGAAGTTTATGACTGTTATAGCGCCAGATGTGGTCCGATCTCCCTGAAATTTTGCATGCTTGTTTAGAATCACCTGTCGCATATGGTTTCGTGAAGTTTTGAGTTTTTGTTTAGGCTTTATTGGCTTTTTGATATATTTGGACAGGCCCCTTTTCTAAAGGACCCCGTTATAGCTTCCCAAAGGGTAAATTTTAACATGTTTTTGGTAATTATTGACCTAGAGAGTCCAGAGAATTGCACTGCGGTAGTTTTTTCCAGATTGAGCGAGAAACCTAGGACTAGTTTGCAAAAGTAGGTTTTTCACATCTTCTCAATCATTTAAAAAACGGTTTGATTGCCAGCAGTGGTTCTAGAGGCAAAGTTTTTTCGGAACGAGGAGGTCTATCATACGATATGAATATCGCGTGTATGTGCAGAAAACCGCGCAATGCACAATCATTTATGCCCCAGTGGCTGATTTCTTTCAAATTTCTCACAGACCTTTGGGATTCGGCTTGTGCCTCCTATTAGGCATTTCACAGAATGTTGTTGCTAATTAAAATGTCCATATGGTTGTAGTGATGTACGGTACCATGTACAGTTAGATTTCTTAATGTTCTTGAAAGATACCAAAATCCTTTTTTTTCAGAATTCTTTGATGAATAGGAAGTTATGAATAAATAAAAATCACTGCGCTCAACTTCAGTTTTGGGTGCGTAGATTAATCAATAACATCACTTTCAAGTAAGGGATCTGCACTCGCTCTGTCTTCTTAATGACTTTTCAATTTATTTAAATTTTGTGGATACCACCCCCCAGTGGCCGATTTCTTTCTACCTTTGGGGCCGTGAGTCAAACAGGCCCACCAAGTTTCGTTCCGATCGGCCTCCATTAACCTTGTCTAATAGATGCTCGAATTTCATCGGCCAATGGCGGCCATGTTTTTTTGAGATACGCAAATGTCCCCATAGACACTTGTGGCACTTTGGACCAAGACCGTGCACAGCAATTTTCATGTTGATAGGACAAATGGTTGCCTATTTATAGCCATTTTTATGTTTTTCCCCTCTTATAGTGCCACCAAGTGGCCAATCTCCGCGATTTTTTCCCTGTGACCTCAGCTAGAGTTCTTACATAAGTGTTCAGAGTTTGTCGAAGATATCTCGTTCCGTTCAGGAGTTATAGGCATTTTACTAAAAGTGGCCGTGCCCCCTTCAAACGTTTTTGAACATGCGACGGTGAGTCGAAAGTTAAACTTTTTTTGATAATTATTGATATTCACTCTCCAGAGAATCTTTCTGCACTGGTTTGGTTCCGATCGGGCAAAAAACCTAGGACTAGTTCGCAAAAGTAGGTTTTTCAAAATATGCGAAATACCTGAAAATTTTGCCAGGCTCTCGATCAAATCTGAGGCGTGCGTTTTGTCCGGCATGAGCCAAGGATTCCAATGACATAAGACACTTGAGCCTGCGATTGACGGTTTAGGAGTTATAAGCGATTTCGTACTTTCGACTAGTACTACCATCCCTCCAAGTTTCAAGTCTCTACGACTTACGGTTTTGTCTGCACAATCAGTTTTACGTGGAAATCGCTCATCTGTGACCATTCTAACAATTACAATAGGGTTTCAGCGCTACGCGCTTGAACCCCTAATAATTAATGAAATATAAATGGAAATGAGATTGAGCTGCATACTGTGCACTGTATGTACTATATGGGTAATTCATCCTGGCACTTTTAAAAGCTCTGTTGCCATTGATCACTTGGTTTGTACATCCACATACAAACTAAATACAGTCCTTCCTAGCATTCCTAGCAGTCCTTCCTACCAGTGGCGGCTCGTGGGTTGTGCCATTTAATTAAGCTGACTGCTGTAGCCTATATCCAGCTATGTTTTCCCTTTCCCTAAATTTGTATATGTACTGTTTGAATGACAGCTTGGTAAATCTGTTGGCAATCAAATATTCAATATCGCTATACTCATCATAAGTAGGCTACTTGGTACATTATCAGCGCAGCGACAGACGTTCAAACTAATATCACGTAATTTACGTCTCTATGATGATTGGTTGATATCAGAAGGGAGGCTAGCCTCCCCTACTAGGTTTCTTTTCTCAACACTCCTCAGCACTGAAAGTGAACACTCAATGGTGATTGGCTAATTTTGTTTTACCAACGGAGGCACGAGAGCTCAGCTCTCCCCCGGCCTCCCCCTACCCTTCTCTATCATTAGTGGTTGTAATTACATCAGCAGATTCCGCACATTCGCGATAGAAAAGCGGCACTTTCACATTATGGTATTACAACTGTGAAATTACAAACAAAAAATACACATTCTGAGACATGAACTAAAATGAATTGTGAATTGTATTAACATTAAATCGTCCTCCTCCCATTTTCACCTCAAAATTATGGGGAAGCTGTGCCTCCCCTGCCTCCCCAACGAGCCGCCACTGCTTCCTACTATAAAATTCTGAGAAGCTCTATTCCAAAATATAGTGAACTCCCTACTGTCCACTGCCTACTCAGCTCTCTTTTAATGCGGCATGAAAAACAACCTTATAAGTAATTTATTTGGAGCGCTGTACATTAGCAGGAGCTGTATACAACATATAGCCTAAGTGGTACAAAAGAGGTTAGGCTCACAATTTATTTCAATAGAGTTTGGAGTTAGCATGCTAAGCTAACTCCAGAGTATCTTCACACATGAGTACAAAGTGGCTAATAAAAACACATAGAACACAAATATGGTGAATAATCTTTTTTTTTTAATTACACTGAGGTATTTTAGCCATGATTTTCAGTACTGAATAAACATTTATCCAACCTCATGTGCCTCTTTCAGAATAGCATATTAGAATATCACTTTTACTGTTTTTACCATATTTTTTATGGAAGAAATAGCAAGAGTATTATGCTTGTATTCAATTATGAATTCATTGAGCTTGCAGTGCATTCTGGGATTCTCTTCTTCATAAAGAAAATGAGGTGGCAAATTTAGGTTTCTTTTGGTGCCTATGATGCTTTAAATTACTGCATCTGAATGCAGCTTGCTAGGTTTTGGAACATAATAAAAAAATAAATGTCCTTACAATTGGAAATGTTTCAAGTCATTGCAACATTTACTTTTACACAGTTTGCGTGTGTGTGAGTGTGTCGTTTTATTAGCATTAAAGCTGACTGTGAGTAGAGCCACAGGCAAGCCACTGTACAAAACAGTAGGTCTGTTATAGCTGCTGACTCAGTCACCCTTTTCCTCAGTCAATTATGCACATAATCTATGTAATGAGATTTCCAATGACATGGGTGAAACATTAACCCTCTGGGCTTGCCTGCTGTTGCAATCACAGCTTCATAACTCTCACTTATACTGCAGTGTAGTGTTACCTTCATTATTTACCACAGGTCCTCACAGAGATACGCTAATGAACACACACACACACACACACACACACACACACACTGAATTCAGTATTCCATCATGCCGTATTCCTCTTTTTCAAAACTCTGGATTTTTTTATGTACTATGTGTATTAGATTACTTTTTCTTTTTTTTTTGTTATTTTTATATGTGACCTACTATGATTATTTAATTAAAGAAGTAGATGAGTTTGTTTCTTTATCAGAACAGATTTGGAGAAATTTACCTTTACATTACTTGCTCACCAGTGGATACTCTGCAGTGAATGGGTACCGTCAGAATGAGTTAAAACAGCTGATAAAAGCATCACAATAATTCACAATTAATCAACACAACTTCAGTCCATCAGTTAATGTCTTGTTAAGGGTAATTAATGCACTGGAGTTGTGTGGATTACTTGTGGATTATGCTATTTGGACTATTTTGACGGCACCCATTCACTGCAGAGTATCCATTGGTGAGCAAGTGATGTAATTGTAAATTTCTTCAAATCTGTTCCATTGAAGAAACAAACTCATCTACATTTTAAGCAATTTTTTATTTTTGGGTGTACTATTCCTTTAATGGTCACTTTACATTACCATAAGTGAAAGACACTTTTGCCTTTCAAAAGGACATTTCCACTTTAATGATATCATTAAGACCCTACACTGTTTTAAAGCTCAGTGCATAAGACATTACTGGTAAAGAAGAAGATGCATATGGAGGAGAAGTAGAAAAGGAGCCACTTAAAATGAAATATAATGAGAAAAACACATTTTCAGCCTGGGATACTTTTATTGCACTCTCTGAGTTCATGACAGTCTTAAAGCTGCTTTACGTGATTTCAGAAACCTGCCTGACACCACTTAAAATTAGAAATGCAGAATAGTTTTGGATGGTGTGTTGATGAGTCCTTTTATATATATATGCACTTACGAATATTATAACAGAACTGGGCAATCACGTATCTCAGTGTGCGTTCTGTTTCAGATTTATTTCAATTAATGAAAAATAATTTTTAACAGTGTTTTAGATTTAGATTTTTTTTATTTAGTTATTCCATACTATGTTGCTAACTCAAATCAGAACTGCATTATAAAAGGAAGCCCAACCTATTGCACATATTAATCCTGATGTTTTTCAGTTCCATCACCTGGAAAAGACACACCACACTCATCTCTTATGTAATCAATCAGCATTGGACAAAAGAAATGGACGTGTTCACTCAGACCATAATCACTGTGACATGCCAACAGTTACTGATAAATGTTTCTAGTTCAAATCCTACAGTCTTATGGCTTGAAGTGCTACCAGGCAGCCAAGCTCTTTGTCTGTGCTGGATCAATAACATGAAAAATTGTCTGATGTTTTCCTCAGGCTGGAGTTTCAGTATGGGCTCAGCTTATCAGTTCCACAGCTGGAGGGTGTTTGTGGTGGTGTGCGCTCTCCCCTGCGTCTGTGCCGTGGTGGCCTTAACGTTCATGCCAGAGAGCCCAAGGTTCTACTTGGAGGTAAGGAGTGTGTGAAATTAGGTGGAGAGATACAAAGAAAGTGGATAATTCATTATAGCTTTGGTTGAGTTTGAAATAACAGTAATTTACAAATAGAAAATGGGCAAAATCCATTTCAGATGCTTGTGGCTGCTTTCTTGTTAACTGCATGTTTCTAAAAACATCAGTTTATGACTTGAACATCTGAAGAAACAGCCTGACTTAAGGGAACACGACTCTCTTTGAAGCTAATGACGCGTGCTTGTCGTGACTCCCTACGCCCCTCTTTTAGGCCTGCCGTGGCAATAGAGGTGGGCGGCTGTCATCTAGCGCTGCGGTTTCCACTTAATCCAGTTAATCTCTTAGGGATTTTTCTGCTCTATCCTTTCAGGTGGGGAAGCACGACGAGGCCTGGATGATCCTCAAGCAGATTCATGACACAAACATGCGAGCGCGTGGACAGCCCGAGAAAGTCTTCACCGTGAGTCGATTCCCTCACTGCGCTAACTTTAAGCTGCTTAGAGCACCAACCATGCATTAAAGTTGCTTAAATTCATACGATTGTCTCATCCTGCCCTGTATGTGGGCTTCACAGATGTTTCTGGTGTCATTTATTGAACTGCTTGGTGAGGGTGATGAAGATCAAGCTGTCATCCAAATTGGACACTCTTATACCTCCCTAAGATATTCTCTCTCCCGGGCATTAACGGTTTGCTGGACGACCGTTGATAAGGTGTAAACCATTAAAATTTGAAATCAGTTCTAATCAGGTGGACTTCGAATTTTCAGATTCTAGTCCTTTCAAAACCTGAGCTAGCAATAAAATTAATGATTAATTCCCTTATAGAATGAATGAGTTAAATTCCTTACAGTACTTACATTGTTGTTGTTATTCCATATTATGTTGCTAACTAAAATCAGGACTGCATTATAAAAGGAAGCCCAACCTATTACACATATTAATTCTGATGTTTTTCAGTTCCAGCACCTGGAAAAGACACACCACACTCAGCTCTTATGTAATCAGTCACCGTTGGACAAATTAAATGGATGCGTTCACTCACACCATAATCACTGTGACATGCCAACAGTTACTGATAAATGTTTCTAGTTCAAATCCTACAGTCTTATGGCTTGAAGTGCTACCAGGCAGCCAAGCTCTTTGTCTGTGCTGGATCAATAACATGAAAAATTGTCTGATGTTTTCCTCAGGCTGGAGTTTCAGTATGGGCTCAGCTTATCAGTTCCACAGCTGGAGGGTGTTTGTGGTGGTGTGCGCTCTCCCCTGCGTCTGTGCCGTGGTGGCCTTAACGTTCATGCCAGAGAGCCCAAGGTTCTACTTGGAGGTAAGGAGTGTGTGAAATTAGGTGGAGAGATACAAAGAAAGTGGATAATTCATTATAGCTTTGGTTGAGTTTGAAATAACAGTAATTTACAAATAGAAAATGGGCAAAATCCATTTCAGATGCTTGTGGCTGCTTTCTTGTTAACTGCATGTTTCTAAAAACATCAGTTTATGACTTGAACATCTGAAGAAACAGCCTGACTTAAGGGAACACGACTCTCTTTGAAGCTAATGACGCGTGCTTGTCGTGACTCCCTACGCCCCTCTTTTAGGCCTGCCGTGGCAATAGAGGTGGGCGGCTGTCATCTAGCGCTGCGGTTTCCACTTAATCCAGTTAATCTCTTAGGGATTTTTCTGCTCTATCCTTTCAGATGGGGAAGCACGACGAGGCATGGATGATCCTCAAGCAGATTCATGACACAAACATGCGAGCGCGTGGACAGCCCGAGAAAGTCTTCACCGTGAGTCGATTCCCTCACTGCGCTAACTTTAAGCTGCTTAGAGCACCAACCATGCATTAAAGTTGCTTAAATTCATACGATTGTCTCATCCTGCCCTGTATGTGGGCTTCACAGATGTTTCTGGTGTCATTTATTGAACTGCTTGGTGAGGGTGATGAAGATCAAGCTGTCATCCAAATTGGACACTCTTATACCTCCCTAAGATATTCTCTCTCTTTTAAATACTGAATATACTGAAGTCCAACTTAAAAAATACACACATTTCATTGCATTACATAACAAAAAAGTATGAAAAGCCCATATAGACTGCAGGCAAAAGTGGACCAAATCCGATTTGAGATCTTTTTCTTCAAACTTTTCACCAATTTACACTTGAATCTGATATGTAGAGAAAAAGAAAGATCTGAGTTATAAATCAGGGTTGAGAACTATGGTTTACAGTGTGAACGTAACTCTAGTAACTGGTGTTTCTTCTTGTAGGTGAACAGAATTAAGATCCCAAAGCAGATTGATGAGTTTGTCGAGATGCAGACCGAATCTGGCAACCTTTTCTCAAAAGTGATCTTCAGGATAAAGACTGAGCTTCATGGGGTGAGATTCATTATGTGTAACCTTTCAGAAATAATATCATCTATGTAATCATTAGCATAAATTACTGAATACGTTCAAATAAAAATGATTAAAACTCCCTTTTCTGTCCTTCCAGATTTGGTTAAACTTCTTGAAGTGTTTTAATTATCCAGTGAAAGACAGTACAGTCAAACTTGCTATTGTGTGGCTCACACTGTCATTTGGGTAAGATACCTATCTGTTTGTCTGTCGTGCTGTCGTTCAGTCTGTCATTCTGTCTGTCTCTCTGTCTATCTGTCGTTCTGTCTGTCTGTCTGTCTGTCTGTCGTTCTGTCTGTCTGTCATTCTGTCTATGTCTGTCTGTCGTTCTGTCTCTTCTGTCTTTCTGTCTGTCTGTATGTCTGTCTGTCGTTCTGTCTGTCTTCTGTTGTTCTGTCTGTCGTTCTGTCTGTTGTTCTGTCTGTCTGTCTGTCTGTCTTTCTGTCTGTCGTTTTGTTGCTCTGTCTGTCGTTCTATCTATTGTTCTTTCTTTCTTTCTTTCTTTCTTTCTTTCTTTCTTTCTTTCATATCATTAAAGAACTCAATACTTCTGCAGGTATTATGGTTTATCCGTGTGGTTCCCTGACGTCATCAAACATCTTCAGGCCGATGAATACGCCTCCAAAGTACAAAGGCATAACAATGAGCGCATTGAAGACTTCACCTTCAATTTCACCCTTGAGAACCAGATACACACTAATAGCTTATTTATCAATGACAGGTGACTTATTCAAACTGTAACAGTAATCTTCTTCTTATTGTACTAATTCTTATTCTGTGTGTGCATATTATCACATAAATAATTTTCTTTATCCGTTCCTCAGGTTCATAGGTATGAAATTCAAGTCTGTCACTTTCATCAATTCCACTTTTCAGAGCTGCTTTTTTGAGGATGTGACATCAGTTGGATCTTTCTTTCGAAACTGCACATTTATTGAGGCTGTCTTCTATAACACTGGTAAAACAGTCATTTATTTCTGAACATAAGTGATGGGAAATCTGATTTTTGGATCTTTAGTGGGCATCACCAAAGCCATCCCCATTCTTCTGGCCTCCTCAGTGCTCGTAGGCGGAGGTCTGGTGGGATTGCGACTACCTGACACCAGGTCAAATGTCCTCATGTAACCCTTGTCGGAGGTCTGGAAAAACTTAAAAGGCTTGACTTAACCCTCATTCCTCATTGTTGTACACTGTGTACTTGTATTGTGTTCATAACAAGATACTTCTCAATTAGGCATCATCATATTTTGACAATCTTTAGACTTTCGTTGCAATAATAAAACTTCTGCACCTTTATACTGTACAGTTAATTTAACCAAGACCCTCATGTTTCCTTGGGACATTTTAGAGGTTTATAATGGCCCAGGAATGAATGTGAGCGTAAATATTAATGTCCCCTTATTAAGACTTGAGCAAAACAACCTATTAATGAGCAGTTCAAACCTGCTGCAAGTATGCAGAGAGGATGATCAGATACGCCGAAAGCTCAGCACAGCTGCATCACACCTGGCTGACTGAATCCTGAGAATTACTAAAGAGATGAGAGACTGAGACCGGTCTACTGGTAAACAACTCTTTATTCAGTTATTAGTTTCAGGATTTGACTACACATAGTGAAAACATCATCCAGATATGGTATCATACATTTCTAATGAAAGAGAATATGGTTTTGTTATTGAATCAGTTTCACTGATTATTGAGTAAGTTGATGACGAGGTTACATTTTTACAGTATTATTACTGTATTTTTTTTAAACAATCAATCCTTTTGCATATGTACTCCAACCTCTGATGAAAAAGGCCACAACTGTGCACTCATGCTCAAAGTACATGTATAAAGTTCCTCCGGCCATATTTATAAAAAACAAAAAATCCCATTTTGTGCTCTGCAGATGTTTTGTTTATATACAGTGGAGTATGTTTTGTTCATAAGCTTTTTATTGCAAGCCTATTTGATTTCATATACAACAGGCGTGTGTTATCGGACTTGTTCTGCCAATTTGTGATTTGTCTAACAGCGAATGGCCTTTTGAAACTGTGCCTCTCCTACATAAGATCATCATCACGTATGAACTTGAGGTGGCTGCTGTATTTGATATCATAGAGTGTGTATCTGCCAGGGTCACTCATGCAAACCATCTTACAATCTGACAGAAAGGACTGATGAGAATCAGGCTGGCGATGTCCTGGAAAGCCTCTTTTATGTACAGTGTCAAAGACTCATCTTGTTGACATGACAGGTTTGTTGGTGCAGAGGGAATTTAGAGGGCCCGCCTCAACATATGGGGTCTGCAATCTGTGGAGAGGGGAAGAGAGAGATGTGTTTGATAACCACATGACACGCGATTCATTTACAAGTTTCATTTCCAAGCCAAGTGAAGAAAATTCTGTTTTGGTTGCTTCTACAAAATGACTTAGATATTTCAATATAGATTTACATACACTACCATTTAAAAGTTTGGGGTTAAAATTTTAATTGAAGAAATTACAGGTAGTAATTTTATTCAGCATGGATGCATTAAATTGATTAAAATCGACAGTAAAGACATAATGTTATAAAAGTTTTCTGTCTCAAATATATGCTGTCATTCTGAACTTACTGTTCATCAAAGGATCCTGGAAAAAAAGCGGTAGTATTTTCAACATTGATATAAATAAGAAATATTTCTTGAGCACCAAATCGCCATATTAGAATGATTTGTGATAGATCATATATCACTGGAATTTCTGCTTTGGAAACACATGATGTTAAATTTTATGGTTTAGCTTTTACAATCAGTGCCAAATACAGTTCTCTGAACAACATAAATCAACAGTGTTACTATTATCTGGCTTTTGCTATGTTTTGAGAATAAGAAATTTCAGTTAAAAAGATTAGAACCTTATATAGGACCATTGATGTTTTTCATTTGATTTGGCTTACAACTAACCAAAGTGGCTTAATGCTGTCTCACTCTCAGCAAAGATATGCAGTTTCTTCAAGGCGTTATTTATAAATGAGATTATAAATGATCAGTGTTGTACAGTCCTTGATCTAAGCCTGTCTTCATCTGAAAACCTCTTTTTTTAATTTATGCATATAGTTTAGTGTTAACATGCTGTCTGAAATGATGTGTGTGTGCTTGTGAACAGTACAAACTGTTTGTTTATATATCTGTGTATGGGTAAATGGTAAATGTATGCTTATCCATTTATATTTTGTACATTTACAGTAATCGACTCACGTGCTGAATGCTGTGTGTAAACATTTTTGGGGACTGCAGTGGATGAATCTGTAGTGTACGTACACCGCTGAAAGTGTTTACTGTTCATCTGTCATTGCAGCACTGTTCCTAAGAGCCAGCCATCCTGAGACATCACTGAACAAAACTGCATGTATTAAACTTTTAGGGTCTGTGCTCAGCTCTCCAGAGAATGTCGCACTGTTGTGTTTTATGGCAGAAAAATACAGAAGAATAAAGCTATCATATTTTGTGAAGGTGATAAAGATGTGTTGAAACGTGTCTGTACCTAATATGAAACAAAGCTTATTAGAAGAAAATATGCACAGACTGGACTTACTCATTTGTGCAATACATAGGTTAAATTGACTGCAAATGTGTCAATATCAAACACATTTTAAGTATTTATAAAGGCTTGTCACATTTTAACTTAACATAACTGACCTAAAACGAGTTTCATTTGATGAGGCTGATATTCAGAGGTGGAGTAAATGCCCATGTTTACATTATGCCCATATTTCAAAGAACAAATGTTAATTAAAATCAAGTCAACATAAACACACTTTCAGCACAACAGACACCTCTTTCCTTCCCACACAGCTCTTCCACAGAGATACAAATATTTGAACAGGTAAAACATGAAGATTATAAATTATATTAAAAATGTATAAAACATATAGCAAATATACGAACAGGTAGAACAGGTATATTTTTAATGTATTAAAATATATTTACAAAATTACCTATATAGGCTACATACTTATTACCTTACTTAGGTTATATAGGCCTGTTCATAGCTTTTCAAATATATGAACAGGTAGATGCTGCAGTAGCTACGCTAAATACATGGGCGTCGCTAGGCCATTTTTAGGGGGCTATAACCCCCCTAAAATGATTACTCAGCCCCCCTAAAAATTTTGCGATTAGCTCCATAAACTGTACACGAATTTGTGATCGCTTCAGTCCCCTTTAAATTTCATAAGAAAACGGCGGCAGACCAATTGCCATTTTTATTTGAAAATTTTACTTTAAATATAAAACATATTAATTACAGTGCATATGGCAAATAGTTTTGCATACTTGAGCTAAAGAAAGAGGGTTGTACTAGAAATGCAAACAGTAAAATTTTGTTTGTACAGCAAACAGGTGTGTGCGTGTGTGTGTGTGTGTGTGTACCTACTTGACCATATTTTGGGGACAAATTTGTACCCAAAAGTGAGCTAAACATGACAATAATGTCCCCTTATTAAGACTTGAGCAAAACAACCTATTAATGAGCAGTTCAAACCTGCTGCAAGTATGCAGAGAGGATGATCAGATACGCCGAAAGCTCAGCACAGCTGCATCACACCTGGCTGACTGAATCCTGAGAATTACTAAAGAGATGAGAGACTGAGACCGGTCTACTGGTAAACAACTCTTTATTCAGTTATTAGTTTCAGGATTTGACTACACATAGTGAAAACATCATCCAGATATGGTATCATACATTTCTAATGAAAGAGAATATGGTTTTGTTATTGAATCAGTTTCACTGATTATTGAGTAAGTTGATGACGAGGTTACATTTTTACAGTATTATTACTGTATTTTTTTTAAACAATCAATCCTTTTGCATATGTACTCCAACCTCTGATGAAAAAGGCCACAACTGTGCACTCATGCTCAAAGTACATGTATAAAGTTCCTCCGGCCATATTTATAAAAAACAAAAAATCCCATTTTGTGCTCTGCAGATGTTTTGTTTATATACAGTGGAGTATGTTTTGTTCATAAGCTTTTTATTGCAAGCCTATTTGATTTCATATACAACAGGCGTGTGTTATCGGACTTGTTCTGCCAATTTGTGATTTGTCTAACAGCGAATGGCCTTTTGAAACTGTGCCTCTCCTACATAAGATCATCATCACGTATGAACTTGAGGTGGCTGCTGTATTTGATATCATAGAGTGTGTATCTGCCAGGGTCACTCATGCAAACCATCTTACAATCTGACAGAAAGGACTGATGAGAATCAGGCTGGCGATGTCCTGGAAAGCCTCTTTTATGTACAGTGTCAAAGACTCATCTTGTTGACATGACAGGTTTGTTGGTGCAGAGGGAATTTAGAGGGCCCGCCTCAACATATGGGGTCTGCAATCTGTGGAGAGGGGAAGAGAGAGATATGTTTGATAACCACGACACGCGATTCATTTACAAGTTTCATTTCCAAGCCAAGTGAAGAAAATTCTGTTTTGGTTGCTTCTACAAAATGACTTAGATATTTCAATATAGATTTACATACACTACCATTTAAAAGTTTGGGGTTAAAATTTTAATTGAAGAAATTACAGGTAGTAATTTTATTCAGCATGGATGCATTAAATTGATTAAAATCGACAGTAAAGACATAATGTTATAAAAGTTTTCTGTCTCAAATATATGCTGTCATTCTGAACTTACTGTTCATCAAAGGATCCTGGAAAAAAAGCGGTAGTATTTTCAACATTGATATAAATAAGAAATATTTCTTGAGCACCAAATCGCCATATTAGAATGATTTGTGATAGATCATATATCACTGGAATTTCTGCTTTGGAAACACATGATGTTAAATTTTATGGTTTAGCTTTTACAATCAGTGCCAAATACAGTTCTCTGAACAACATAAATCAACAGTGTTACTATTATCTGGCTTTTGCTATGTTTTGAGAATAAGAAATTTCAGTTAAAAAGATTAGAACCTTATATAGGACCATTGATGTTTTTCATTTGATTTGGCTTACAACTAACCAAAGTGGCTTAATGCTGTCTCACTCTCAGCAAAGATATGCAGTTTCTTCAAGGCGTTATTTATAAATGAGATTATAAATGATCAGTGTTGTACAGTCCTTGATCTAAGCCTGTCTTCATCTGAAAACCTCTT